ATGCTCGGCAAAGCCTGGGCAGTACGAGGCAACGTACTGCGACACAGCTTTTCCTCCCAACTCACGTAATCGACCGGCTACTGGTTGGTGGTTTGCATGACCCACACATTGCTTTGAAACCAAACTTCTAATCAAGGACGGGGAAGTACTTAGTATCGTAGTCGCTTTCTTGATGGGTCGTTTGCTGACGGGAGTCTGAAGGCCGAACATGCACATGTCCACATGAATCTTTTGGGTGCCGGCTAAAATGGGTTGAAGACTACCCTCCTGAAGCATCGTAGACCCGGTGGGCTGCTCAAAATGAAAAGCTCGCTTGTGTCGCTGCTGCCACTCAAACAACTTTACACATAGCTGAAGATGGATCTGGTCGCGCTGTCGTCCCTCCAACATCTGTTGATTGTACTTATCACTTCGGGAAGCATTAAAATGCGACCATGAACTCCACAGACGACAATCCGGGGCAACCCAAATGTGCTTAGGTTGAGTACGTTGAACTACGTTCCAAAGTTCCCGTTGACCCTCAACTGTAGACAGATCCCCATGCTCCTTGGTAAATCGTTGTGCACGGCCTCCAAGGTCTTGAACCGTCTGCGTCAGGCGGCTATCGGCATATGCGTACACCTCTAGCAAATCTAGCTGGTCCTCGATAGGTTGTTGATACGTGAGAAGGGAATTTTCAAAGGTCTCCCAGCTAGTCACCTGAACCTGATTAAACGCATGCATACAGGCGGCCACTACTTCCTCAACCTTGGTGTGTAACGCAGGAACTTCCAGCATTGGGCTACTGGCCTCGAGCTCCTGACGCAGCAGTGACTTTGTAGCCTCAACGGGATTGGTGGCGCACACGGCATTGCTTGATGCAGACTCGGCCGTATCCAGTGCTGGTATCTTCATGAAGGGAAAACCGTGCTCTAGCAACCATTGTCTATCTTCGGAAGAAACCTTATAGTACGCTTTAGAGGCAAAACCCACGGCAAGCATGCGGTTGCCGCTCCACGGCAACGTTGCGTGCCACACGTGTGGATCAAGCAAAAGGTGATCCTGAAGGCATCGAACAGATCCAGGCAATCTCTTGCCCGCACACACCAAGCTCATGCTCTTCTGGTTGGGCCCAGGAGGACTAGCTACCCAGATCTCTCCACCGCTTTGGGGATGAAGGAGGGGAACAACAAGATTTGGGATGCCCAAACTGTTATAGCTGTCTCGGTGCGGCTTGGCTTTTGTGTTGCACGATATAGATACTGACGTGAATGGATGATCGGGTTGGGTTTGGGACATCAGTCTCGCAAGTAGCTTCGTAAGATAGGGAAACGCGCGAGAAACCCTCGTAACCCCAACAATCCCACCATGCACAAAAGTCCCGAAGGTAATGTAAGCTGGAGGTCTCTTAGGGTTGGATTCTTCTTCTTGCATGATGGCTCTTGCGGGCTTGTGGGAACAGGTTAACTGGTGCCACGGGACATTTCGGAGAAAACTCTTCACATCCGAAATCTTACTGGACACGTCAAGAAGCTTCTTAGCCTGATCCTCAATCCACTCTAGGTTCTTTACAGCTGGCGTAGCGCTCAAGAGAGCCTGAAGCTCATCCCTGCACGTCTGAACCGCATCTACGATTGCTGCTGGGCTGTGCTGAGCTGCTGAATGGCATTCAGCATCTGATGCATCATCCCTTCCATCTGGTTCATGCGGTGGTTCAGGTCGGTGACCTGCGCCTCGACCGGGTGATGGAACTCGGGATCGGCAATCATGTCCCAGCGATCGTCGTCGGGCTTGGGTCCGGAAGCGGACTTTGTGCGGGGAGCAGCTTTGCTCTTGGCAGCTACCGCCGTGGAAGCGATTGCCTCTGTGTCCTGAATCAACTCCTCTTCCAGAGCTTCTGCCTCTTGGACATAGCGTTCCACGTAGAGGAGAAAGATGACGTGGACATGCTTGGTGCTGGTGTGCAGATGATCGCAACACCAGCGAACCCAGGAAGCCTCCTTGGTCACCACTTCCTCGAACGTGCGCCCCTTCTGTTGCTTTCCGAAAGTGATGAGCTGTTGTCCGAGCTCGGAAAGAGGCATGACCTGAGCCTGTTCCAGAGTGCAGGTCACGGTCTCGTCTGTAAGACGAGAGAAGCGAGCTCCCAGCGAGGGGTTCCCGACACTGGATGCACTGCTGGCTGCCTTGCTCTGGGCCATCTGGAAGTGCGGGGGCAGGAGGATGGGACAAGGGCTCTGGGACAGTTGAGCTGTTCGCGGCTGGTTGTGAAGATTGTTGCATCATGATTTCGGCTTGACTATCATCTGGGCATTGGGCTTGTGACGACTTAACATTAACAGACTCCGGGTATTTACGGAATCGAGAAAAATATGAATTCTGACCCTGGGGACCCCTAGAGAAGCGCTGGACAGGATGGGTACAAAGGCTTTCTGGCTTCTCATTCACCACAGGTTGGTCTGTCTGCATGCATGGCTCCTCGGATGGGCTGGGCTTGAGGGGCAGGTTTGTGTTTTGGATGGGCTCGGCTTTGTCTTCAGGGCTTTGGGCACAGGCTTCATCAACATGTTGGCACTGCTGCTCCGTGCGGCAGCTTTCTTCACTCAAACCGGCAAGATCCAACATGTACAGGCCAGTGGCGCCTTCGTGCAACGAAAACGTCTTTCGGAGACGTCTGAGGCAGCATGAGTCTGTGGTTGTATCTATGACACCACCCAACTGCTTGATTGCCCGCTTAGAGAACAACAGTGGAGTGCTGCCCGGGACGATCTCTACTCCAAGCCACAAAACCTGGTGATCTAGGGTCCGGATTGGCACTAGGAGGCGCTTAGAGCTAACCAAGGTTTGATTATTCCCAAACCGAAACCGAACCGAGCTCTTAGTCACCCGAACCATACTACGGACCTTATCACTCAGTTGGCTCAGGAATTGATCAAGGAGCAAGTGTCCCATGACACAACGGCTTGCACCTGTGTCCAGGATCGCTTCTACCGTGGTCGCACTTTGCAAGGCGACCTCCGATGCACACAGCTCAGCAGGAGGTGTGTCCTCATGCCGTCTCGGGAGGGTCTCAGTCCATGTCTTGACTCCACTTCTGGGCTGCCTGGGGAGCTGCGGGTTCTTATTTAGGGTCTCACGCTGCTGAAAGTTCTTTACGAGAACACTCAACCGACTAGCTACNNAATTTCAACTGCTCTGAAAGCCTCGGCAAGCGAAACAGCTTCCTCGGGTAGCTGTGTGAGGATCTCGGCTCCTGCGCCATCGGGAAAGGGTCCTGACATGTACGCGGTGGCCTGAGTGGGGCATTCCTCGGCAAAGGTCGTCGTTGCATCGTTCTTGGGGGCAGATGACATTGACCCAGGGCGACCGTACTTAGGACACTCCGCTTTCCAGTGTCCTCGCTCCCCGCATGCCCTACATGTTGACTTGGCTATCCTAGCCAACAGCTGATCTCGGCCACTCTTGCCCTTCCCCTTTCCCTTGGCTCCTTTTCCGCTGGCCTTGGCACCCTTGTGCCCACTCACCGGCCAGAAGCCACGAACCTTACGCTTTGACAAAAGCCTCGATCTGGCCTCCAGGTAGCTCACCAAAGCCTCCTGAAGCTCCGGTGTGTCCTGGAAGAAGGTCTCCAACTCGTCCTCGAAGCTGGCGATGGTGAGAGCATCCTGGTCCTCCGCCGCAACCAAGGCCTCTATGTACTCAGGCTCGAGCTCCGGCTCATACTCCTCTCCTGTGCTTGCAGGAGCTGCTGCATGATACACCCGATCAGTCTCGTCGGCTCCCACCTCATCGGCAATGTTCGCATCGTAAGTCTTATTCCGAAATGCGCCTCGCTGGCCCTGCAAATCAGAAAAGAATCTGGAACCAAGCAAACGAACCGCCGAGCTGACCTTATCATACTTGAGGGTGCCGCCCATCTCCACGACAATCTTCTTCCTGTCTTCGGCCGACAGGGCCGATTGTCTCAAGAGCACATACGCTCTGATCTCCTCGAGCGACACGTTCTGCGCCAAGAGCTCCTCGAAGTGCACGTCGTGCCTCGCCAAATAGCTGTCGTTCGACTCGTCGGACTTCTGGATGGTCCCGTAAATGGCCTTCTCGAAAACATCGTACTTGCGCTCTACCTCGGAGCGCCCCCAGGACCCACCAAGAGTCGCGACCAAGAGCTGTACCCCGCTCTCATCGTTGCTCTTCAGCTTGTCGGCTGGCAGCTTAGACACTTTCTTAAAAGAGGTGCCCTCGCAGAGCAAAGCTGCACGCGGTGCGAGCAGCGAAAGGCTCTCCTTCGGCCACATGGCCGCCAGGAACTGTAGCTTCTTTGAGTACTCCGTGACATCTGTCGTACCAGGAATGAATCTAGGGATGGCGTTCCAGGGCAGTTGATAGCTCGGCTCCGAAGGAGTCGAGCTTGTGCCTCCCTCAGTCGTCATATCTCCAAAGGATTCCCCAGCTCTAGCTTTTCCGCCACTTTCAGCGAAGCTCCAGTTGCTCCACTACCAGTGTGAGACTGGCTAAGTCTCACCCTGGTAGCT